CCAAATGGAAGCTGCACACCAGCCCACACTGAGCCCTTTGAACCGATCTGCCAGGTGGGCGACGGGTTCAGCGGCTTCTACATGCAGGAGCATCCCCACCCCTCAAAAATGGAATTGGGGGAACGGGGTGACCCCTGGAATTCCATTTGTGGTTCCATAGCCCCTTTTGCTTTTATGGGGAAGACTAGATCAATGGTTTCTGGGGACCCCCCCGCCTCCCTTCCCCTTAAGGTAGGGGGGATGCAGGAGCTACCACTCACCAGTGCGACGGTGAGATGCGAGCCCTACGCCTTTATCGCCCGGGATCAGAAAGGCCGGCAATTGGTGCGGTTCGTTTTTGATGCTTGGTTTGTGTAGTTGGTTTGTTGCTTCCGTTTGATGCTTTGTGTAGTTGGTTTGTTGTTTCTGGTTGATGCTTTGGGTTGTGTAGTTGGTTTGTTGGTTCCTTTTGATGCTTTGGTTTGTATAGTTGGTTTGTTGTTTCCATTGCTGTGGTTTGTGTGGTTTGCTGTTTGCAACCATCCGGTGTCTTAGGTTTTTAGCTGCTTTTAGGTGATTTAGTGGTAGTACTAGTGGTAGTGTCCAGTTAACCCATTAAAAGTTAAAATTGCAGCAGGGGACCTGGGGACAGCCCGGTGTTGTTGTTTGTTGTGTTGTTGTGTTTGTTGTTGTTTGGTTGGTTGGTTTGTGTTGTCCTTTGCTGTGTTGCGCTGTGTTGTGCATGTGTTGTTTTTGCTTTGCTTGCTGGCTTTGATTGCTTGTCTTGTCTTGTCTTGTCTTGTTTTGGTCTGGCTTGGCTTGGCTTGGCTTGGCTTGGCTTGGCTTGGTTTGGCTTGGCTTGGCTGGGCTGGCTGGCTGGCTGGCTTGCTTGCTTGTGTTTTGTGTGGTTTCTCACTTTTTCTTGCCTGCTTGTTGGCTTCAGGCTTGGCTGGTTTGTTTATTTGTTTGTTTCTCTTCGCGCCAGTTCATTGGCCAGTTGGTTTGTTTGTTTGCTGCCTTGCTTCCTTGCTTGCTTCCTGCTGGTGTTACGAGTGGCCCCACACGCAACTGGAAGGCAATTGGCACCGCCTGCCGGAGGACGGGATTGAAGTCTTGGGGGGCAGGGCAGTAGTTTGAGTTTGCCTCGAAGCCACCAATCCTTTGGTGCATTTTGCCAAGGGATGTTAGGACTTTAATTGTTTGCCAACTATAATGGGTTTTCCGTATTAAACCACTAAAAGTTAGTCACTTAGCAGGGGAGCAGAAAGCAACCGAGAAATTCATGGGGGAATCACATGGGCCACCCCTAGGTGCATGGGCCGTAGGTGAAACATGATCCCTCTGAGCGGGTCATTTGGGGACCTGGAAAAGCAGGAACTGTGTGGGGGGGGGGGGCGGAGGTGGCAGGGAAACCAAAAGGAAAGCAACCGGTGCAAGGGGTCCCTATGAGAGTGAGACTTTGTATTGAGGGTACCCTTCAAAGGGACGGTTTAGGAAACTGAAAGGAAAACCACAACTTGACTACTATTGGGTTGGATCTTTAGACTTCAACTTTTTGGGAAGTCAAGGGGTTTTCCACTAAAACCCAAAAAGTTATTCACTTCTTGCAGGGGGGTAGCAACCAAGACAATTTGGATCAATTTGGGGGGGTCGCCCTATAAGACATCTTCGGACACCCCACGCCCAGGAGGAGTCCTACTACTTCGGCACGGCCACTCACTTGGGAACTTGATGGGCTTAGCCCCCGAAGCGAAGCCAAAAGGCGATGGTTGCAACCCAGTGGACCGACAAGAGCCAACGTAAGCCATCCCCAAAATAGAATGCGGCCATTCACACAACCCAAAGAATGTGTTATAACCACTATAAACCATTCCTAAGAAATGTTTTGCTCCCCTTTCATCCCCCTTCTGGGCAATTTCTTAAGACTTTAAATGGCAACAGCAGTTTTGCGTTTTGCGCCCAAAAGGGCCCCGAGTAATCGCGGGGAGTTTTCTGGTAATGAAGGGGGCTGGCCTCCAAGGGGGGGGGTTCCTTGGGAGCTTGAAAGCCTTGTCATTTTAAACAACCTTTAGAAAGAAGCATCCATTTTGGGGAAAGCACATCTTGTTCTGAAAGCTTGACGGGTTTAATAGTGGATTGGATTAAGCGCAGACGTAGCAAATACAAAGCAAAAGGAAGGCCGCTTTTCTGGCAGAGTTTTGGCTTGGGGGCTGCAGGTGCCTTTAATCGAGGCCCAACAAAGTATTGGGCAGGGTTTTTTGGCACACCTTGGCCTTTCCTTGTGTATTGGTGGGAATCTGGGAGGAAAAAGGGGAAGCTAATTGTGCACTGAGGTTATAAGGAACCCCGGCTTGCTCTTGGTACAGAGGCTGTTTAGCCCCGGGGCCACACAGCACAGGCTGCGCTCAGACTGCTTGTGCTTGCGCGTCAGTTTTCTCAAGTTTGCGAGTCATCGTTTGGTCAGAGCTTTGCTTTTCAGGTCCTCGGGCACATGCAATCCAGACAAACGTTCTCGCGGCCACTTGCGGCCTCAGGGCACCCGAAGCGAGAGCCTCGTAGTTTGGATTGGTTCCAAAGGGCAGGTGAACCCCGATGCACCTTGTAGAGGGTTGATAGGAGACCACCTGTTTTGTGGCTTGGATTGGAGTTCCGGAGCGGCTTCCCACTTACCCTTTACAAGAGGTTCAAATCCCACCACGAATCCAACAAAGCATCAGATTAGCACTAACTGGTGGTTTGGATTGGGTGGTTCGGCAATCCAGGCTAGGGCGATTCCACCAAATCATAGCCAGCAAGACAGCACAAGGTCCAAGTGAGGTTGGTGAGTGGGATGCTGACCTGTTGCAGGTGATGCTCATAATGTGCCCCAAGAAAGACCAGACCGAGAAAAACAACGAAGCAGATCCGGTACAAAAGCAAAGACCCAGTAAGAAACGACACCTCTACCGACGGGATGGCAGATTCAAGCACGGCCACAAGATCAACAAGTGTGCAACATTTGTTTTTGCCAGAGCCGCAGGTAAGTCAGCCACAGAACCTGGTCGACGGCGACGCGCGGTGCGGGGAGAACCTTTCATGCACTAAAAGTGTTTTGATTGATTCGTTTAAGGCAAATCCACAACCCCTCGCTTCCTGCAGAGCCTTCGTCTTTTTTCTGCAAGCTCAAGGAACCACTACTACTACACTGGCTCCCAGTGGGTTGCTAATGGCGGACCAGGGCTTTCCAACGCTAAGACAAGCGCCACGGGTTGCGTGGGATGCGGGAAGGTGAGCAGCTTGCATGACATGTGGCTGCACAAAAAGCACCTCGGCGGCGCTTTACCGCGTTTCCGCTTGCAGCAAGTTGTGCAAACATCAGGACTTGCCTTTCTTTCGGGCGCGTGCGTGTTCCTGTCGTTTCTTTTCAGGACAGCCATTGTTGGGGGGGCGACAGCACACATCAGAAGTGGACATGATTGATATCTAAACATGCACTGACAGCGATAGATGGCGAGGTCGGGGCTGGGAGAAATGACTATTTCAGTGTCTCTACGCGGATGCTCCGTCTCCCTCTTGGCTGCTGGTCTTTGCGTTGTGCTGATTGGAACGTAGCTAGGTGCGCCTACCGGGCTGGGCCACAGTCCAAACCTGACGGAATGTGCGGGACCTCGTCATTGGACTATTGGCAAGGTTATGGGTTGACTCCTTTGACACTGGTTGCTGAATTTGACTTGGCAAGATGGCTTGCGCTTGCCAGCCTGCAATAGGTCATGATGGACTTGTGCACGCATGCTTTGTGCGGAACCACGAAGGCAAAGGGTCAGAGCTTACTTGCCCAACGCCCACCACCGACCGTTTGCCCTTGTGTGTTTCGCTTTGCTGTCGATTTTTAGTCGGGCGTACAACAGACGGATCTTTTTGGGTGTGCTTTTTTGGCAAGTGAGAAGACTGTGATGACTCGGTCGACCCATCAGAGCTTGTCAGTTGCGCTGAGACGCTTCGCCACCAGAGCGGGAGCGAACGGCGAAACGCGCTGCTTAAAGCAGCTTGCTTGTGAGCTCACGGCCCAAAAGTGGACTCGGGCTTGGGCCAGGGTTTGGCACACCCTATGTTTTGGAAGGGAACCACATGGGTATCTTTTTGTAGAGGACGCCCCAAAACGATGGATTTCCTTCTGGTTTCCCTTCACAACCACCAAAAAAGAAGGTGCCATTAAGACAAAACATACCCACATGGTTGTTTCGCCCCCCCCTTCCCCCCCAAAAAAAAACAAACAAAAGCAAAAACAAAAAATAAAAACAAAAAACCAGCATCAAGAAAAGACAAACCCACAGGGTTGTTTCGCCCCCCCCCCCCCCGAAAATGATGTGGGGCGCTTCACGGTGGGCTCCTTGCTATGGCTTCGAGCCAGTGCTGAATGGGTTTGCGCATGGGGCAGGCTTGAAGTTAGAACGCTCCTCTTGGCCTCCGGGACCAACGGTTCTACACCTGTCAGGGTTTCCAACCCTATGGGGTGAGCACATGCATCATCCGTATTTTTGGCTAAAGTCAAAGTACTGGTTTGTTCATAACGACGCATCCAATTGTTTGAAGCGTGTACCAACATGATCCAGTGTCACTTATAGTAGTTTAAGATCAGATGTGGTAAATGTTAGAATGAGCAATGGTAAACATGCAGGACACATTTTTCATGCACATTGCCACGATTGCACGACATCCACGTGACGTATCAGTACGCATGCCAAATGCTTGGTTCACCACCGTCCTGTTTCCACTGGGTGTAGAAATGGAGGTTGTGGATGGCCTTAAAGGGACCGGTCGGGAGATTGTTCGTTTTCAGCTTCTTCCGCGGGTTCGGCGCGTCGCGACGGAATGGCCAGCGAGTTCGCCGAATTCTTGGCGCTGGGAAGAATGGAACTTAACATACGACCCTTAGGGAAGCCGGGGCTAATCACCTTGGTGTGTCCTTTTTTTAGGGTTCCCTTGTTGGGTCTTGGGTTGAGCAAAGGGAAGCCAGCATTTGGTCTGGGGGGTGCTCCCAGGAGCCTCTCTGGCGCCCCCTTCGTGGCCAGCGCCATCTTCCTGCCCGAGCGGGTGCAGATAGGCCTTAACCGGCCGCGCAACCTTGGGGTCGCTTCGGGTCGGGTAAGGAAACCCTTTGAGATACACTCAACCACAAAGCCATGGTCTCACGTCCTGAGTGGACTTTGAACAATTGTGGGAAGACATTTCTATTGGCAAATTTGAGAAGTTTGGACTCCTTTGGCCAGTCTCAGGAAGTGACCGTACTATGCGTGAGCGAATCTCCAAAAGCCCGAAGGTCCGAGCAGGGTAGGGAGACGTGCGCAGCCAATATGCGGGTCTCGTTGGTTTCAGTCTTTAGGTTAGGCTCATTCAAGCCGAACCAGAATCAAAGATAGCTTTGATTGGGGGGGCAGCTGTGGTTTGCCACTGGAAGGGCACTGGAAGCGGCGGATCGTTGAAAGGGGGTGGGCATCACTTGAATTGTTCCAGACACTCTTGGGAAAGAACATGGCTGCCTTGTTCAATGTTGGTTTGCGTGGCTTCCTAGCAGGGGTCCGGCAAAATTTATGGAAGGACAGTCCCGTGGTAATCTCAAGAGTGGTTCCTTAAATAAACTGGTTCCATGGTTTAGTGCTGGGGTTGCCAGATGTGACATTTAAATAAAGAGACCCCTCTAAGAGTGTTGTCTTGGGCAACCACTTGGGGACTCCTTGCGCCACCAGTTCTTTAGCCAATCGTGGACACGGAGAAAGCAATGTTCTTGTGCCTTTCGCTCTTCTTCTTGGCGTGTGGTGTTGACATCAACGACTCCATTGGCGGCTTTACCATGGAAATCTACAGGTCTGGGTGGATCAGTATTTCCAAAGAGGACCCTAACAGGGCAAGCGCAAACCCCGGCCCTGTAAACGGCACGCTCTGCACTTCTTGATTGGCATTGCTTTGGAATCCAATTGGGTTGGTCTCCAAATTGGAGCAGCCCTTTTCAATGCCTGGTGTTCCTTTTTGTACAAGCCGCGCGAATCCAAGAATCCCGAAAATCCAAGAATCCAAGAAGGCCTTAGGTGGGCTGTACTAAGGCTTTGTAACCACAAGCTCTTGGGCGGTCTTTGGGGATCTGTGGGATCCCTGGATGACAAAACCCCAATTGATTCCCTGCTGATCCCTAAACATTGCAAGAACACCAACCACACCCACAAAGCCTTGGTGGAATTGCAACATTGCAAGAAATCATGGTGTTTCCTCGTTCTTGTTGGGCCCTGCGATGTTTAGAGCATCCGGGCTGTCGTCCGCAGGTGATGGTGAGGGTGGTTCGGCAGACTTGGTGGAGCTTCAAACCTCGAAGCAGGCATGGGGCGCATGGGCAAAGGGGCATTGGTTTCTTGGGGGTTCTTGGTAGGCATTTTTTTTTTTTTTTTTTTTTTTTAAATATAAAAAATAAGAATAACTAAATAAAACATGCCTGGCTTTTGGTTGCTGGTTACTGCTTAAACTTCCATTTGCTTCAGAATATTGGTGTATTTCCCCCTGTTGGTTTTAAAGGGAATCGATATCAGTACTGGACATTATATATATATATATTATATTTTTCTCCAGGAATCAAAAAACCAAATGGAAGAAAAGGTATCAACACTTTTTCTGGCTGGTGATTTCAGCTGGTCAGGCAAGTCCACCAGGAGTTGACAGTATCTGGGCCGAAAAACCAGAAGGTGCGACTGAAACGGCTGTCCAAGCGCTTGTTGCTCACCGCAGCTGCTATCAACGCTACCAGCCAACGCCTCAAGCGGGCACTCTGCAGCTCCTTTTCGCGGTCCAAGGCAACGCCCGCCTTGGGCACAAAACCTCATGGAAGTAAACCAAAAACAGTCACTGGGGAAAGGGAGCGCTTGGCCAGCCGGCTCCAGCCCGAGCGGTGATGCGTCCAGCGGCTTCCTTCCCGGGCCCCCCGCAAGCTACGAAGAAATGAAGACCTGTTCGGCGCCCGGGCGGGATCGGTCACTCTGGAGCCGCAAACGCTTGCCTCACTTGGGTTGATTTTCCCCGCTCTTTAAACCACCGTTCCTTTCAAACAAGAGCTGTTTCCCAGAGATGCTTGTGGTTTTCCGCAAAGAAGGATGGGAGGCAGTTTCTAATGAAATTGTTTTGTTTACGCGCTGCATGGCCGTGCGTTCGCTGCGCAGAAGCTGTCCGATGTGTGAAATGAATGCCCCATTCTTGTTTAGTTGGTCAGCTCTACGTAGGGGCTGCGGGGCTGGATTGATTGGAGAGATAAGTTGGCCCTTTACCCCCCAGAAAGGTTCTAAGCAGCTTCTAAGAAGCTCTTCCTTGGCTTGGTGTTTCGTAGCCGTCCCCTTATCTTTTTGGCTTTTTAGTCGGTTTAGTTTAGGACCAACGTGGGCGTGTTTATTTCAGAGTTCTGTTTTTTAGGAGAAACTATTTGAAACTATTTATAAAAAATCCCAGAAACTATTTGAGACTATTTATAAGAATCCCAGACTGTTTGAGACTATTTATCTTTTTTAAAAAAAAGCCTAGAAACTGTTTGAGACCATTTATAGAAACACAGCAAGAAACTGTTTTGAGACTATTTGTAGAAAAGAAGCAGGCAACCGTTGGTGTATGTGCAAAAGTAAGGGCCTTCTTTGAGCAAGAAGGCAGACAAATGGACACTGTCTATAACCATGTTTTAGGCACTGGGCGCTTCTGGACCTTTGGGTCCAAAAACAAATAGAACTTACCTCAACAAACGGAAACTAGTTGAAACTATTTCTTTAAATTTAGGAAACTATTTGAAACTATTTGTAAATTGCAGGAAACTATTCGAGACTATTCTTACAATTCCTGGGCAATACTTGAAACATTGTTGTTTTCTTAATGTTGGTATTTGAAACTATTGATAAATGTTTAGTAAGCTTTCCGAAACTAGTTATAAACCGACGTCTGGAAGCTATCTGAAACCGATCATAAACAAATGAGTTAACTACGTTGAAAGATGCACAAACTACTTCTGAAATTTGGAGAAGCTATTCGGAGCCTGTTTCGAAGGTTGTGCGTTTATTCACATGTATCATTTGGTATTCCCATTGGTATTCCCAAACAGCAAGGGAATACTGAGTACAGCGACAGCAAGGAAGTAAATCGCCTTGAGCCGCCCAGTTCTGCAATTCTTTGCCTTGACAGTGTGAGCTCAAGCTGTTTCCGCAATGGGGGGGGGCAGAAGCTTAAGTGTCATGTCTGCGCTGGTTGTTAGCATTATTTCGGAAGCGGGTTGAGCGGCAAGGGGCCTTGCCCAATTGAACGATTTGCGAGGACGAGGTGGGCGCAGACGGTTCGTCAGCATTGAACTAACCATTCTACACGGCACAGCTGCCACACATTGTAGTTTGTGTGTGTTGCTGGTGCAGTGGCAAGTCGAAAAAACGAAGAAGATCGCAAACCCACTGAGCCGTTGTCTTCTGAAGGATGTGCAGCTGAGCACATCGCGATGCGGCGTGCTGCGCGGCACGCAGAAAAAGCCTGTGGCAATTGTGTCAACCAGAAGCGGCAGGCGCTTGCAGTAAGCTTCAAGTTGGCGGCCCGCCGTGAACGCAATCGGCGGAAAGGAGGTTGTTTGGTGGCCGCGCGAGTAGGTGATGTCTCATCATGCAGGTTTCGCTGGGCGTTGCCGTCGGTGGCCGAACCTACGCCCAGCAACATCCTGACAGAGACGCTGCTTCCAAAACAAAGCCTCTGTACAGAATGTTGTAGATTTCGTTAACTGGCGTCAAGTGTGTAAGGTGATGTGATGCGCCCGAGGGCATGCTTTCTTTGACTTTTGGTTGCGCAGGTATCCAAATGGTGCTACGCAATGGTTATGGTACAAAAAAAAGGTTATGTTCTGCCTCTGGATTCGGATCCCGGCCAGGCGTCCAATTAGTTGGCCAATACAAAGGCCGTTTGTTTGCGAGTGATCTGGTTGCGGACTTGTAGCGTGACTGGATGCCCATCTATGATGGAACTAAGAGCCGCCGCCGTTGTTGCGGACTAACGTGTTGCGTGGCAACTTCCTCTACTTGTGCTTGCCCTAGCGTTGAATCACTGAGAGTTGGTCTTGCGCTGTTGGCAGTCTTCACGCAGCTCACAGAGCCCTAAGCCAAGCTGGGATGGGGAAAGGTCAGGAGGCGGGCCGCCAGCTTACTGCGAACGCCCCGGCGGCCCGCGGAGTCGCGCCGGCCACCCGTAGTCCGAAAGGCTATGCAGAGCGTTGAAAGCTGGCTACACGCTGGCCCAACGTAAAAGCCGCGTTAACTTTGCCCTGGGCGGCCGGGGGAGTGGCTCGGGCGGACTGACGGTGTCAAGTGGGGTGTGAGGGGGACCGGTCGTGGACTGACGGGGACGGGCCGAACTGACGGGTGTGTGGGCTCACGCAACACCTCACTTAAAAAAGAAGTGGAAACTATTTCTAAATTTTCTCGAAACTATTTGAGACTATTTATAAAATTTCGAGAAACTATTCGAAACCATTTCTAAATTTGCTGACTTTTTCAAAGACCGCAGATCTTTGGCTGGGGCCCAGAGACTTGGGTCGTAGCCTGGGTTGGCAGGGCGGCGATCATTCCCCGCAGGCCCGCCCTGCAGAACCCGCCTCATCCCACCCCCCGGCCCGGCCAGCCCGCCCAAGCCCAAAAGCGGATTTGCCAAGCTGGCGAAGGAGGCGGGGCTCGGGCTCTCGAACTTGCGCTGCACCTAGTGGGTGAGTGCCCTGGCAACGCCCCAGGTTCTTCATGGTCGGGCGTGCTGCTTCAAAAAAGACACAAACCGCTGCGATCTGTTGCAACACTTCACTCCTGCTTTGAGAGTCGCCCCAAGCCTTTTCAAGCCATTGCCTGGTTTTTCCAGATCCTGTTTTAGAAATAGTCTCAAACCGTCCCGAACCGTTTCCCGCTATTTCTAGATCCTGTTTCAGAAATAGTCCCAAACCGTCCCGAACCGTTTCCCGCTATTTCTAGATCCTGTTTTAGAAATAGTCCTAAACCGTCCCAAACCGTTTTCCGCTACTTCTAAGTCTTGTTTGAGAAGTAGTCCCAGACCGTTTCAAACCGCTTCCCGCTATTTCTAAAACGATTTTAGAAATAGTTCCAAACCGTTCGAAACCGTTTCCCGCTATTTGTAAGCATTGCGCTGCCCAGAGCCACTTTTCGCTTCGCATAGTCTCAAATAGTTCCAAATAGTTTCAAATAGTTTTGCATAGTTTCCGGCTTCAGCATGCTTACAAATGGTCGCAAACCGTCCCAAACCGTTCCCCGCTATTTTTAAAATCTTTTTAGAAATAGTTCCAAACCGTCCCGAACCGTTTCTTGCTATTTCTAAACACATGTTTAGAAATAGTCCCAAACCGTTTCGAACCGCTTCCGGCTGTTTCTAAAATCCTTTTTAGAAATAGTCCCAAACCGTCCCGAACCGTTTCCCGCTATGTCTAAAACCTGTTCTAGAAATAGTCCCAAACCGTCCCGAACCGTTTCCCGCTATGTCTAAAACTTGTTTTAGTTTGAGATAGCCCCAGACCGTCCCTAACTGTTTCATGCTGTTACAAACTCCTGCTTTAGACAGCCCGTTTGGCGCCATGTCTAAAAGTGCCTTGGCGTTGTTGCCACCAGCGCCAACGCAGATTTCTCTATCAGCCAACATGTGGCTTGAACATGCTTTCCAACGGGTCAGGTTGTGTTGCGCAGCTGCTGTTGCAATTCTGGGCCTGCTTGTCTTGACCGGTGTGATGGGGTGAGCTTTCAGGCGCGTCGTGCTTTCGCTACGAATTACAAGCAATGGTGTCAGGGGGGCCAAGAATCAGCTGCGCCTCAGCCTTCTCTTGCAACTTCTGCGCGCCTTTGTTTGCGAAAGGATGAAGTTTCCTCGGAGTTAGAAACAGCCTCATTGCAGCTCCCTATGATTTGTTGTTGGGAGCCATCGCCGTTTTCTTTGATGTACGAATAGTCTCACGTAACTGCTTTTTTGATTCAAGAGTAGTCTCACATAGTTTCCCTTCAACTCATAAATAGTCTCACATAGCGTCCCTTTGATTGGTACGTAGTCTCACATAGTTTCCCTTTGATTTATATGCGGTGTCACATAGATTCTCCTTGACTTAAAAATAGCCTCTTGTAGTTTCCAACTAGTCTCCTGTAGTTTCCTTTGATTTAAAAATAGTCTTGTGTAGTTTCCCTTTGATCTGTAAGTACTCTCACAAAGCTTCTTTGTTATTTATAAATAGTCCTACATAGCTTCTCCTTGACTCATAAATAGTATCATAGCTTCTCTTTCATGTAGAAATAGTCTCAAATAGTTTGTCTTTTATTTTTAAATCGTCTCACGTAGTTTGTCTTTTATTTATACAGAGTCTCAGATAGCTTCTCGATCATTTATAAATAGTCTCAAATAGCTTCTTAATTATTTATAAACAGTCTCAAATAGTCCCTGCCCTTGCTCCCTTGCCAACAGATAAACAGGCCGACGTTAGTCCCAAGGTTTAGTGGCGGTTTCCGAAGTTGGCCCACTAAAAGTTAGTCACTTGTAGCTGGGAATCAGCCAGCGGACAGCTCTGGGCTGGACGTTTGCCAGGTGACGCGGCTTCGCTGCAAGCGCTGCTTCGCGCCCGTGTGCGCCAAGCTGGGCCGACGTTTCCTGGCGCTGCCCCTGACAGGCCGAGAGCTCGAGTTTCGGGGCCTCGGCGTCTCAGGAGCGAGGGTCGATGGTTTCCGCGAATGTCTCGGTCCCCCAGGAATTCGTGCCCCTTTACCAACCCTTTTGAAAAAAGAGTTCCCCTACTAAAGTAGACAGGAAACAGGGTATACCCTTATTCTAACCTCTACTGGAGGACCTAGTTAATCAACCCCAGTTTGCTGATGGGCGGGGGTGTCCGTTTCTGGGTTTAGTGGGGAATCAGCACTTTTGAAGGGGAGCAACCCTGTATGGATAAACCCAGCTTGATTAATATGGGGTCTCCAGTACCCCCAGGCCCAACCCTCCCCCCCCCTTCGAAAAGATTGTGATAGAACCCTTACCACATTTTGTTGTTTAGTGGTTTGCATCTTTGAAAGGGGAGCGAACCGAAAAAAGGGTTGCAACCCAACATGCCCACACCTGTAATTTTGGCTTTGGACAGAAAGGTTATGGTGTGAGTTCACACCCGACCTTGAAAGCTTTTTGGCTTCAATCAAGGTCACAAGTTACCTTTTGACTTCCAGGACTTTCCGGTGAGTTACGAGGTTTCTAGGGCTACCTTCCCCATTCTTTCCAGGGATCTTTTTTTTCACGAAACCGTGAAAAACCTAGGGAAACAACTGTTTTTTTTAAGAACGATGGTTGAAAAGAATGGGGAATCAACCCCTAGAAGGTTCGTGGCTTTGCCTGGCCGCAGGGGTTGAAACCCCTCGTTTGATCGAACATGAGTATCTTACATCCATTTGCTTAAGAATACATGGACCAACCAAGGGCACGTTTTTTGCGACTGTCTGCAAACATCCGTGCATTTCCTTGAAATCCATGCATTTGAGCAAAAACTGTACTTTTCTTGCAGGCTCAACGCCAGACACAGGAGCATTCAACGACTTTTTCTACAAGAATCTCACGTTCAGCTCCGGCGCTGGCACTGGCGATTGTCATGCTCATGGGCCAAGAAAAAACCATTTGAAGGTGTGCAATTCGCCAAGGACAAAGGTGCGCATTTCCCCAAGCAAATGTTCCGCTGATTTCCGTACTTTTTCCGCAGATTTCCGTACTTTTCCCGCCGATTTCCGTGCATTTCCCGCCGATTTCCATGCATTTCCATTTTGGCTCGGAAAACCGCAAACTCGCGAAAGCGGCGAGGAAGCTGTCACATGTTGCCCCGCAGCAATAGGAGACGAATTGCCTGAAACGGAATTAAGTATGACGGGCCATGTAAATTGCAAACTGTGTTCATGTGCATCCATGTGCACCACAAACGCTCACAGCCTGCTAAAAGCGATTTCCGTCAAGTTTCCTCAAAAGTGTACATTGACGTTTTTCTGCTGCGTGTACGGAAATTTTTGTACTTTTGAAGGGCTTTTGTATTTCTTCCAACCCCCTGCTGGTTTAAACGGGATCTATCACTACTGGACGTATTTTTATTCTTTTCCAGGGGTCAAAACTCCATCAAAGAAGGGCTAATGAGCTGAATGGGAACGGCGCGACTACGGCTAGAACTGTTGGTAAAACGCATTGCCAAGCAAATCTTGCGGAGCAAACTAGTCAGGGGTGGTTCCCCTTGAGAAATGCATTGGTTTGGCTTCCTCTGATGCAGACTCCCTCGGAAAACGCCCGGTAGCTTACGTTTGTCTATACAAGGTTTGTCGCAAATGAGCGGGCCCATTGCATGGACACTCACAAAATGACCCTTTCAGCGGGTCGCGAACAAGAAGACCTGCGCCCACAAGAAAGGTTGGAGACCCCTCGTGCAAACAATGCGCTCTTATGGGTGGGAAAAAGGGTTTGCAAAATCATATCGAGCACCGGGCAAAATTAGTGGCAGTGTATGATTGATTTGGGAAGAATACGGCGGGTGGGCCTGCCCAATTTGGCTTGCCACAACCTGGGGTTCTACGCAAATCATGAAACGCTAGTAAGTATTGCCTTGTACTAAGGTTGGGTTGGTTCAAGGGAATGCCAAAAGGATAGCCACCATCTTGCCGGTGCGAATCCCTTTTTGGACACATACCCAATATCTGAACCTGCGATCTCGCCCAGAGTTCCTTTCCGGGTGAAGCCTTTACGCTTATCGAATGGACATCGTGCACCAGTTGGGTGTGCGGTTCATCCCAGTATGCGTGAGGCTTCATGTATCACAGGTGCAAGACTGTGTGGACGCAACCGCGATATGAAAGCAAAGAATTAGAACCTTCCATTTGCTTAAAAATATGTTTATTTTCCCCTGTTGGTTTTGAAGGGAATCTAGGAACTCACTGAAATCCAATACTAGGAGCCTTTTGGGGCCTTTAGCTGGAGAGAGCGCGGAGGCAAAACCACACGAGTCATTCGGGGTCATTAGGACTCTGATATTTTGTCATGTATTGGAGTATATTTGGGATTATATATATATATACATACACACATAGATATTCACATACATATATATATATGTATAGATATTCAGATACATATATGATATACATATATATATATATATATATATGTACATTTGCCGTAGCTTGGTCGTTTGCGGTCAGGCTTCGCCCCACTGCCTGCGGGCTGGAAGCCCACGCATCACTTGCGCTTCGGCAAGTTTTGACGTCAGGTGAGCCTTCAAAATCTGGCATTGAAAGTTCTACCTGGAGTCCCCATGACCCTTCAAAAATGGTTGGTCATGACCCGAATCTTTCTTTTGGGTAATGACCCCATTTTTAAAGGGTCATGGAGAGTCTAGGTAGTTACCCAAAAACCATGGTAACAGCATAGTGGCGGATATCCACAACCTTCACTTACCCGAATCGTTTGTTGTGATGGGCCGCGTGCTGATGCCAAAGCGGCAGATTGGGCATGAGCCGAGCTTGCCACGAAGGTTGATTCCTTGAGAATCCAGTTCTCACATTTGCTTAAGAGTATTTTTGTTTTCCCCTGTTGGTTTTAAAGGGAATCTCTCACTACTGGACATATTTTGATTTTCACCAGGGGTCTTAACCAAATGGAAGTTCAGGATTGAAATGGCTGTAGGATTTGAATCTTTCTACACCCGGCGATCCGTGGAAGTATTACGTGGATTGGGCCTTTGCGAGTGTTTTCACTGGGTTTCTGGTGTGCAGAGGACAGCAGCGCCTGGTTTCCAAGCGCAGGGCTTCTTGTCCACCTTGCCACGGGTTCCGAGGGCTGCCAGATACTTGGTCCAGAAATGTCCAGAAACCATGACAACCTTTTTTGGGGGAGGGTTCTGCTACTAAAATAGACTGCAGAGAAAAGGGGTGCCCTTATTCTAACCTTTCTACTGGACCTAGATGAGCAATATTCATGATTTGTGGGTTCCTTTCGTTTTCAAGCTGACTTATTTGCGGACCAGTGGAATATTTGCCCTGCCGAACTTACTAGGCTTGAGCACCGTCCAAATGGTCTTTGGCCTCAAACCCTATAAAGCCAAATGCGCTAAAAACATTCTTGCAACATGGGTCTCTTTTTTTGGAGGGTACCAATTGTTGATTATTTTAAAGGGAAACCTATTGCGCACGGAAAGTACGGTCGCATGTTCAGGTCTTTTGTTAGGAACCAGTGGGAAGGGCGGGTGGTGACCCACGGATTTTGCCGATTTCATCTCGGTGCGGGAGCACCGCCGGTGAGTTGCATGGGGGTTCGTTTCAGACCCTTTTGGGCCAGAGAAAAAGGTTTTGGCCGGCCACCCCAACTGGAAGTGTTGGATTGCGTTTGCCTAACAACTTCTTTGCATGTCGCGCTCCGCATGCGTCGTTTCACGCATGCGGCTCAGGCATTACGACAGCCGACTCATGGACTGCCGAGTCGGAAACGAGACGCGGGTTCGCGTTGTACCAGTATGCCAGGGTTGGTCAATGCAGGGGGGAGCCCAGAAGCAGGTGAGCGGAACCTGCAATTTTGCCGGTCACTGTCCAATCCCCGAATCATATGTGAACCTTAGAGGTTGCTTGCAAGGTTCATGAGAGGTTTGTTTCCTCCGCCTTTGGATGCCAAAGGCGGCAAAGTGAACCAGCCCCTCGTTTTTTAGAGGAAATTCGAAGGGCGGATTGTAGCACCGGGACTTTGGAACGTCCAAGCTCCTTTCATAAGGTGCCCTCAGTCCTACTGATCGACGAAATCCTCTTGGGCGTCACTTTGAAACCGGGGAAACCATAGGTGGTGCGAAATGGATTGCGGCCATCCACAGTTTGGTTTCTGAACAGTGGTGCGAACTGCATGTGGTCCATCCACGGCATGATTTGCCCAGAGCTGTTCAAAGCTGTATGCGATTCGCCCAACCCGAAGCTGTGTTTGGAGTGGCAACATTTCAGGACGTCCAGGATGACCTCATTAAGTACCGCGGGAGATCTCGCGGACCTGTGTACCGTGCGAATGATGAAAAAGTGGCGAGAACATGGCAGCCTGGTTCGGTAGGGAATGGTTTTGGGATGTTTTGGGAATGTTCCGAGGTCGTAGGGAATTGCGCATGTTTTGGGCTTCAACCTTTCCCTCTAGGTAGATGTTCCTAATGTTCTGAATGCATTGTGTACAGCATCATTGTCGTTGTCGTCGTCGTTGCCGTCGCGGGTCGTCATCATCATCACCATCATCATCATCATCATCGTCATCATCGTCATCATCGTCATCATCGTCATCATCGTCATCATCATTCTGTTCAATCCTCCTTTTTACAAGTGGGCAATTTCAACTGTTTAAAGGGCACAGGGAATTACTGAGAGGGAAACAGGTCAGTACCTCGTTCTTGCTGAGAACCTTGTTCTGATGGGAGCAATGATCAGTCGGCTTCACTGGACAAAGTCAATTTTTCACCACAAAATGAAACCACCGGAAGCGATTGCGCGTTTGGTTTTTACAGGGGATCATCATTCCAGGGTTTCTTAGGTGCAGGATTTCTTCCATCCACAGTGTTATGATATTGGGCACATGATGACTGTTGACCGTGGCTTTCGGGCACAGATCTGAACCCATGTGTCAGTGGCTCATGGACCCAACTATCCAGGGAGGATTATCAAACGGCTCTTGGACCCGTTGCGTGGTCCTTTTTGAGTGGGGTGAGTTCTCCACCCGGAACAACCGGGTAGGGATGGCTTTCCCGGCTGCTTTCCAGTGATGTTCTTTACCGTGGTCTTGTTTCGATGGTTATGCTAAGCTCTTGTGGGGCTGCCAAGAACAGCTTAGAGCCTCCGGCCATTGGCTGAAGAGGAAAAAGGTAGGAGGACCCCTGCCTGGCCTTTTTGTGGAGCTTGTGATCCAGGAGAAGCCATAGGTACCCACCATATCGTGGGTATGCAAGTGGTATATGACGGGTAAATTAGGTGCGCTATTCTGTAGCATCCACGTTTGGCCAAGCAGCTGGAAACTTTGTGACTTACCCGCCTGGAGTCCCAAAACTCCATGATTCATGACGTGTCCTCTTTGCCTCTTTAGTTGCTTGCGGCATGATGTTGGGCAAACCACTACCATCAACGATAAAATTGGTGAAACCACTATCGAAGCGCTAGAAAAGTACACGTTTCCATGGGGTTTCTCTTTTTGTCGATGGTACCAGTTTTGGGGTTGTTTTAACAGGAAGCTGAAGAGAACCCAGCCTTTGGACACTTCACTCAATGCAATTCATATGGGTGGTGGTTTAGGATTCGTGGAAACCAACCTGAGTGCGCAGATCGAGTTGTTATTCGCGCCAGATCAGCCGGATGTATCTGCGGCTCAGCCGCAGTGCCTTGGCTTAGCCTTGCAGCTTTTCCCCCAGACGCCGGGCACACGGCTATTCTCACTTTCTGAGTTCATGGCCATTATGCTTTTTGGGAAGACCATTTCAGTGGCACACAGTTTGGGCTTTTTTGGGCTACCCACTCAAGAAGTGAGTATTTGGTTCTAGGCCATTGAGTGGGGTTGGAAAAAGAAGGATCCCTACAGGTTCCTTTTGGTGGCTAAAAAGCATTACCTCATGGACCAGGTTGAAAGGGGGAATATCTGGGCGTCACTCGTGTGCGGCATCAACCACCGCTTGGTTCGGGGTCCATTTTTCATTTTCGGCTGGTGAGTCATTCTAATTTGAGAATTGTGGGTGTTGTTTTTGCAGGCTGCCCTTTTGAGGTTTAAAAGGCAACCAGCAGATAATGCCCCATTTCGCATTTTTTTAAAGCCCCCCCCAAAAAAAAAACCAAGCTCAGGTGATATCCCCAACAGCATGCGGTGCTCTTTTTAGTGCTCGCACCACCCCGCAGCCCTCGCAGAACCTCGTGGAACCCTGGTGGAACCCTGGTGGAACCCTCGTGGAACCTTACCTCAGGGCCGCCCCGGACCACCCCGGAGCCTATCTGGGCTGAGACCCCAAAGCTTGCAGCCGTTTGGGGAAAAACTGCAAATATGGTGATTCTCCCCTTGGCTTCCCTTTAAAACCAATTCCAAAAAGGGCCACGCGCAAACCAACCTTTGGCCTCTCGAAAAGGCAGCCGGCGCAGCCCGGGCAGCCTGGGCCGGTCGGGAGCACCGCCCTGGCGCCGGTCGGCTACGGCGGCGGCAACGCTGGCGGAAGCGCGGCGCCGACGCCGGTGACCATGGAGGTGGGAGGCAAAATGGGCATGGCTCAAATTGGTGGAGCTGGGGTTTTGCAGGTTTTACCAAGGTGCCATTTACCAAGGTGCCATTTTGGGTATCAGTTTTGGCCGCAGCCAAATAGCCAAAAACTTTATCGCCTGACCCAGGGGCAAGGCGTGCGTCCATTCGCTGAAATGAGTATGTCTGATTTTCCCTTGCTTTGAAGGGAATCGATTTCACTAGCCGCAATATGTTCTTGTTTGTTCCAACGGGCTTAAGCAAATGGAAGAAGGGCATGTTCTTTCTGGCTATCTGGTAGGATCTTTGGACTTTAACTATCCGGGAAGCACTGGATTATCAACAGCAACCAAGTTTTCAGGGAGATGGGTTTTCAAGGTATGTTGGTTTTATTCTACTTGCATAAGAGGTGGTAGAAAGGATGCACACCTTCAAAATCCGTACCTGAAATTACCCTTGATACGGGGAGTGCTGAACTAAGGGCAAAAAATAGCTGAACAACTATGTTCAGGGGTTGGTTGGTCGGTTTCGGGTGTTTCTTGCTGATGGTACCCGCTTCGTTGAAGGGAAAGCGATGCAAAGCAACCCATTTGGGAGGCTTCCCGGTTTTTTGCCGGACATAAGGAATGTTTTGCAGGGGTCATCCTGCGCCATTCCCTCGCCAGAACTAGCAAAGAATGGTTGGAACTAGTTCCAAGTTGAGAAGTTGAGTCAAAAAGGCAACCCCTGATTGAATGATATGGACGTATATCCGCCACCAACCAAACAAGCGCAACAAGGATTGCATTCACTTCAACTTCCCAGTTTTTGGGCTTGAACAAATGTATTTGGGAACATTTGAGTGGGCGAGTCTGAACGTATCTGACTGACTCGCCTGGTTAGAACCCACCAAAGCCATGGTGGCAAGTTCCCCATAACCAGGATCAAACTAAGCATTTAGCGAACTCGCAGACCATCCTAGTAGACCTGTATGCCAGTCAGTCTAGTAGGTAACCAGCTCTTCTCGTTGTTTTGTTTTGAAAGCTGGTGCTT